GTGACAGTGAAGGAGGACCAGGTGATGCAACAGAACCCGCCCAAGTTTGACAAGATCGAGGACATGGCCATGCTGACCTTCCTGCATGAGCCCGCCGTGCTCTTCAACCTCAAGGAGCGCTATGCAGCCTGGATGATCTACGTGAGTGGATCCTGCACACTGCAGTGTCCCCAACCCCGACAAGCTTAGAGGACTCTCAAGGGGAGGCTAAGATTCTCAAAAGGTTAGAGATGTGGCCATTGGCCAAGGTAAGAGTAGATTCCACATGGGCATCTAAGCTTTATCCCCCACTCTGGCCCCTAGGACTTGCTGAAGTCCATCTTCCCTCCTCTCACATCTATCCCTGGTCAGTTGTGGAAACAAATAGTCAAGTTGGGGTGTCCAGTGAGTCCTCTGACCTCCAGCATTGCCTTTCCTGGGCTCTTCCCACCAACTTCTCAAGTCTTGTCTTCTGCTTCAGACCTACTCGGGCCTCTTCTGTGTCACTGTCAACCCCTACAAGTGGTTGCCAGTGTACAACGCTGAGGTGGTGGCCGCCTATCGGGGTAAGAAGAGGAGCGAGGCCCCGCCTCACATCTTCTCCATCTCTGACAACGCCTATCAGTACATGCTGACAGGTGAGCCCCATGACCCCCGACCTGCATCCTAACTCCCACCTGGGCCCTCAGCCCTGCCACCACTGTCTCGCTTCTCTTCCAGATCGGGAGAACCAGTCCATCCTCATCACGTGAGTGAGCACCACGCACCCGCAGAGGGCCCGGGGTGGGATGGGGGCCTAGGCTGACTTCAGGGTGTATTGGTGGGGAAGGTGTGAGGTCTCCTGAGCTCTCACTGGAGGCACTGCCAGTCACGGAGAGGATGGAGGGACTCTGTAGGGTGTGCTGGGCTCAGCTGTGAGAGTCCTGATGGTTGGGAGAGTGCAGGAGTGTTGCATTCTAAAGAGAGAGCAGCAGAGTCACTACATCACTACGTTCTGGTTGGCTCCTGTCCTCTCCAGAGGAGAATCCGGGGCTGGGAAGACTGTGAACACGAAACGTGTCATCCAGTACTTTGCCAGCATCGCGGCAATAGGAGACCGTGGCAAGAAGGACAACGCCAATGCCAACAAGGTACTTCTGTGGGGCACTTGCTCAGCATAAAGAAGGCCTTGGGGGATCCTGGCCCAGGTTACCACTAACCCTAGCCTGGACAGCAATGGGGCTGTACCACTGATCAGGGTTCCTGAGGATCAGCCCAGTGTGGGAGGCCTTGTTGGCAGGAGACACATGTTCTGAGGATCAAATAAAACCAGCCCTGTGGAGCCCTTACTGAGGTTCAGCCATATCACCTTAAACGCCTAGTGCCAGATTAGCCTCCTTGATCTCCTCACTGCCACCTGGACGTGGATGGGGAATGAACCCTGAGGTTCTGTTCCCCATTTAGGGCACCCTGGAAGACCAGATCATCCAGGCCAACCCTGCTCTGGAGGCCTTTGGCAACGCCAAGACTGTCCGGAATGACAACTCGTCTCGCTTTGTGAGTGCCCTTGACCAGCTGCCAGCTAACCTCGTCTGACCTTGACAAAAGCAGAGGGCTATTTTGCCACCAACCACCACAACCTGTCAAATCTACTCTATTTGGCTTTTGAGGGTCAGCTGACGTACACACTCTCACACATATTCTCTAAACCTTGCCCAGCTCAGCCTAACTCCCTGAGTTCTGAGAACCCCACGAAGGAGAACAGAGCCACCACAGCTGTTCCATAGCCAAATGGCAGAGCCAATTTTTATTACAATTTAGATTTTCTTTTTCCTTGTGACTGTTTCCACAGATCTTCTGTATCAGAAGTGGAGAAAAGAGCATAGGCTTTGGAGCTAAATTCCAAACTTGCCACTTGTTTAAAAAGTGCTCACACCTCTCTGTAGCCCAGTTCTCTCATCTGTGGAATAGGGATCACACTACCTACCTAGAAGGTTATAAGGAGAATTACATGAGGTGTTATTAGAGGTACCCACAGGAAGCCTCTGTATATGTTGATTCTCCTGCTAGTTTTTTTCCCATTCATTGATCCCTGAGTTGTAAGTGGGATGGACATTGTTTTCCTTGAGACATCAAATGGGTTATTTATGTTTCCAGAACTATCCAAGGCGTTCAGAGTTAAGTTGAGGTCAAAATTTCCATTTTGTCCCTTTTGGTCAGTTTCCTCATTTCCGCCCCCCCTCATCCACTCCCAGGGAAAATTCATCAGGATCCATTTTGGAGCCACTGGAAAGTTGGCTTCTGCAGACATAGAGACCTGTGAGTACTGTGTGGGGAGCCCCGCACCCCCACCCTGGACCCATCATCTCTGCCTTTTTCTCAGCTGGGTAGCCATAGCTTATTGTTTTCCTCTGGTTTGTTCCCCCGCCCCTTTTGTACATTTATGTCTTGGTTTTTAGCATATTTTTCTTCTTCAAGTAATATATATTTCCCTAGACTCTCTCCATCTTCCTTTTAGGAACCATTCTGCCTTTTGCTGTATCTGCTCACCTTCCTCCCTCCTCTCCACCTCAGATCTCTTGGAGAAATCCCGAGTGATCTTCCAGCTGAAGTCTGAGAGGAACTATCACATCTTCTACCAGATCCTGTCCAATAAGAAACCTGAGCTGCTGGGTGAGTCTGACCTGATGCCCCTCGGGGCTCCCACTGCCCTCGCCAGTGGCTCATCGCTTTTTCTTCATTCCCATCTTTCTCTTCCTTCTCCACTGCAGACTCATTTGCATCTTTTCAGCCTCTTCATTCCACTCATGCCTTACTCCATCTCACTTTTTTCCACACCTTCCTTTTCCTATTTCTCTTCTCCCTTATTGACTTTTTACTTCTCTTTGTTTCCCCCTTCCCCACGTCTCACTCCCTGACTTCCCTAACCCACCCTCCTTCCTCATTTCTCTCGGATTCTCTCCTTGCTCTTTGCTGACTCTCCTTCTCTTCTGCCCTCTCTCCTCTCCTCATCATTTGGTCCTATCTCTTTCCTGGCTGTGCTCCTCTCCCAAACCCTTTCTGCCTGGCCCTGCCCTCTGCCCACCTGCCCTTCCACCACTTGCCCCTTGCCTGGAATAGACATGCTGCTGGTCACCAACAACCCCTATGACTACGCCTTCGTGTCTCAGGGAGAGGTGTCTGTGGCCTCCATCGACGACTCCGAGGAGCTCATGGCCACTGATGTAAGAGGGAAGACTGGGTGTGGCAGTGTGATTCTGAGTTCTCCCGAAGCTTCCTTTTCCAGCTACACTGTTCTCTCACTCTCTCACCCAGAGCGCCTTTGACGTGCTAGGCTTCACTGCTGAGGAGAAAGCTGGTGTCTATAAGCTGACAGGTGCCATCATGCACTATGGAAACATGAAGTTCAAGCAGAAGCAGAGGGAGGAGCAGGCTGAGCCTGATGGAACTGAAGGTGAGCAGGGCAGGTTGGCAAGAAATGGAAACATCGGAGCTGGGAACTACGTCCATGCTGGGCACAGTTTTATCGGGAGGAAGGTCGCTTATGCTGTGTCCCAAAGTAGTGCCTTTCCTTTCAACAATTCTCAAGAAGCTAGGTTGACAACAGGTTTGTTAGGACCATGATAAAGTAGGAGGAAACCCGGAGAGCTATGTGAGACTGTGACACCTACAGAGCAGGTGCTGGGAAGATGGAACCTTATTCCAGGGGCAAGCTTTTCTCCACCTCCGCCTGTCTGCCTTGCCTCCAGACTTTTTCCTCAGATCTCTGATCACCCACCCTGCCCAGATAGACTGGCTCCCCAGAAGACCAGACTGTAGAGCAGATGAGTAGGATGAGGAGGTGAGGTGGGGCAGGACATGGGAGAGGTAAGCAGAGAATCCTTTCACAATCCCAGCAATTTCCTTATCCCAGCTACATAGTCAGAAGTGAGTGGGTGACTTCCCCCTTTCTGTACCTAGGACTCACCAACCCCAAGAAACCACAAACACTGAACTCTGCACAGTCCAGTCACTAATACAATGTGGTTTACCTGCCTACCTCTTGATCAAGCCCTGTGAGGCTCCGTGGCATGCTCTGCCTGTGAGAAGGCAGTAAGTCAGGGTCCAGGGTGAAGCTCAGGGTATTATTATGTCCCTCCCCACTTAACTGAGTCTCAGTATAATCTTCATTAAAATGAAATGGCCAGCCGTTTCTGACTCTCACATGGGGCTACTGTGAGGATCCTTTGAGATGGACATAAGACAGTGTGAACAATGCCAAACAAGTGTCCTGATAGCATTCTTCTTGGTTCTCCTTTAAGAAACCCTTCTCTGTGCATGTCCAGATCAAAATGCCAAGCCTAGGATCCAAAATAGCACATTATCAATTATTACAAACTTCTTAACAGTTTGTTTAAAGCAAATAAACTGTCTTTGAGTAGAGGAATCTCTATTTTGGATGGTACTTTTGGAAGGCTGGTATGTATTGGGGTCAGGGAGTGAACGTCCAACATGCTGAAAGTTGGGACTCTTGACTTTCAAACCACTTGAATTGGTTAACATGTGAATTGAAAATACAGGGCTTCCAGTCCTGGACCAGATACTGGGATGTGGTAGAAAGGAGATAAGACCAGAGAATATCTAGTCCCATCTAGTGCCAGCTGGGACATCCTTTCCCTGGAGAGATGAAGGGCTCGGTGGGAATGGAGACCATGATTACAGCAATGATGGTGGAGGGCCTGATCCAGGGATATTGATCAAAGACAGAGGTGAGCGCTCCACCTCGCCCACGGTGGGAGCTTTCACTGGACAAAGAGGGCTGAGTTCCAGCTTAACTTGGGCTCACATAGGCTGTGAGACCAAGGACAAATCTCCCTTTTCAAAGCCCTTTTCCTTCCCTATTAATGAAAGAAGTTTGAGTCTGACTAATGGCTTTGACTCAGGGCAGCAAAGAGGGACAGGTTAAAAGTGCTCACTGCCTCCTTTCCTTCTTAACCAGATGCTGACAAGTCTGCCTACCTCATGGGGCTGAACTCAGCAGACCTGCTCAAAGGACTGTGTCACCCTCGGGTGAAAGTGGGCAATGAGTATGTCACCAAGGGGCAGAGTGTGCAGCAGGTCTACTATTCAATCGGGGCACTGGCCAAGTCAGTGTACGAGAAGATGTTCAACTGGATGGTGACGCGGATCAACGCCACCCTGGAAACCAAGCAGCCACGCCAGTACTTCATAGGAGTCCTCGACATTGCTGGCTTTGAGATATTTGATGTGAGCCAGGAGGCCCTGGGAGTGGGACAACACAACCTTGGGAGGGGAGGGAACCAGTCATACTCCTTGCTGGGCTCCAGTACAATCACAGTCACAGTCCTAGACTAGCCCTGTTGGCTGCTAATATCCCTGCTTGCTTGACCTGCTCCTATCCCTTACCTCTGCAGTTCAACAGCTTTGAGCAGCTCTGTATCAACTTCACCAATGAGAAACTGCAACAGTTTTTCAACCACCACATGTTCGTGCTGGAACAGGAGGAGTACAAGAAGGAGGGCATCGAGTGGGAGTTCATTGACTTTGGCATGGACCTGCAGGCCTGCAT